ACTCACCCGTGGGTATTACAATTCTTAAATTAATCCTTGTAGAAATAACAACAACAACAACAACAAAAAGCCAGTGCATATTTTTGATCCACTAACCTCTTTTCATTGAAGTGGTTGCTTTTATGATGTGATTTTTAAAAGTTAATAAAACGTTTTTAAGAAAGAGCAGAATAGAATGATTTATTGTCTACAGCTTAGATTTCTGTTCATATTATTGTTCTCCCAGGCATGTAAACTAGAAAGTCTCTTTTGTCCTAGTGACTCTTTCCTCTTCCCCAGCATTTATTTGTTTGACTTCCAGGTAGGGGCAATACCCACCTTCTTCCCTCAGGGCTGGGCTATCCTAGTCTCAACTTGGTCCTTGTCTCTTTGTTCTGCTCATTGTCCACCCTTCTCACAATCCATCCCCAAATTTCATTCATTCATTTACGCAGTGCATTTTTATATGTGAGTGACTACAGTATGAGAGATACTATTCTAAGCACGAGGGATAGGACAGTAAATAAGACAAAAAGGCTCATTGTCCCCAGGAAGCTTATACTCTAAGTATGGAGAGAGATGACAGGCAAACAAAAAGGAAGGTAATTTCAGAAGCAAGAGATACCCCAAACAAATATGCACAGGAACATTGAGAAATTAAGGAGGGACCTACCGTAAGTGAGTAGTCAGCAGAAGTACCTCTGAGAAGACATTTGAACCAATAAATGAGCAATGGTGGGGAGACTGCCTTGTGAAGACCAGGAAGGGAGGAAGCATTCCAGACAAAGGGAATTATGAGTCTAAAAAGGCAGGAACACACTTGATAGTTTCTAGAAACAGGCCTTTCTAGAAGGCCCCTGTAGCCAAACTCATCTTCTATCTTGTACATACCTCCCCTCTCTTACTAAAAGACCCCCAACACTCTGTTGCTCACAAAGTACAGCTCAAACCTCTTCACCTGTTCTTTCAATATTTTATTATGTAGCCTCACACTGCCTCCCAGTCTCATGTCCTGTTTTCCAAAAACAGGTGGCAATCTTTTGGAGAACTGTCACCCTTGCTTTTCATATTTCTGTTCACCCGGTGCCAGGCACTAGATGAGGTGAAGTTTCTTAAAATCCTCTTAGAGACCCAGAATTCACAGACAGCAAAAGTTTATGAAAGAAGGGAAGACAATATCCCGGCTGTCGGGGAGCTGGCCATGTAGAGTGGGGATAGGGAGAACTAACATGTATGAAGCGGTTAAAGAATAAGTAAAGGATAAACTTTAGGTGAAAATTGGAGAAGAGTAAAGTCAGACCAGCAGGGACTGGAGCATCGGATGTGGCTTCATGGAAGAAGTGGACTTTTAACTGGTCTTCAGCAAATGAAGATCAGCAAAGGAGAAGAAATGTTTCCCAAGAGGGTAGAACAGTATTTGCAAAAGTCTAACAGTGGGAATGCCTGAGTAAGTCTGAGGAACCTGGGGGAAGGTACGTGCAACAGGGGCAAGAGACATGAGGAGAGTGGAGATTAGAAAGGCCAGGGTCACGTTCCAGACAATCTCAAAACCAGGCAAAGAAAGTCAGATCTGACAGCAGAGGGGGCAGAAAAAGTCATGAGAGAACTCGCCCCTTCCCCACTAGGTCTGGGCTTCCACTTTGATACAGAGACACCAACGCTGTCCTTGAGATGTCTCCCTCAGATCCCACAGCACTGCAGGCATTGAGGAGCCCCACTCTATTACCCTTTTCTGTCTTGATGAGGCCATCTAAGTCTTGAGTGTCCTAATCCAGCCTTAGGAGGCACAAATGCCCACCGGCGAGCTCTTTGATCAGTGTCTGCTGGCCGAGGGAGGAACAGGTTGTGCATTCTGAGCCCATCCCCAAGCCAGCTTTGTGGCTCCTAAGACTGCTGTTGCCATAATTAGATCTGAGGATGAGTCTTGGGGACATACAGGGAGCCCAAAATGCTGTTTGCTTAATTATCCAGCCCACTATTATCACACAGTCATTGCCTGGACATGTCTTTGTCCAAAAGCCTTTATTCTTTGTTGTCTGGGAACTATTGGCTCTAGATGAATCTGGACCTGAGCCACTGTAGTGGCAGACACACAGGGCAAGCCAAGGGCATACTCATAAGCAAAATAGCTGCCAATTGTCCAGCCCTTCTTTGGAACATCCATGGGCAGAAACCAACTATGATGGAGAGGAAAGTGGAGAAGGGCTGCTAGGATGCCAGGAAGACAGGAGGAAGGGGCATTGCTGGAAAGGGATGGGGCAAATAGCACCATTGGAGAAGCCAGTGGATTTGCAACACGATAAGAGTCTGAGCCGTGGTTCTGTCAATTTCTAGCTGAATGGTTTTGGCAGGTTATTTAACCAAGCCTCAGTGTACTTGTCTATAAAATGAGCATCTTTGCTATCACCTATTTAATAACGTTGGGATTACTTAGTGAGAAAGTGGGTTTGAAAATGCGCTGTACGTTGTACACTTCTTCTCAAACATGAGCAAGCATTGCTAATTCTAGACTTATGCACTTCTGGTCCTTGCATAGCCAAGGCTGATAGAAAAGCCTTGAAACAGTTCACTGCAATTTGCCTCCTTGGTAAATGTATCTATTAGAAAGGCCTCTTGCACCACTCATGACACTAATCCTGGGGATAGAGTTGGGGTGGTGTCAGAGAGCTAGTATGAAAAAAACTATCTGACAGGCATTGAAATGCTACCCTGGAAATTAGTTTTGACCTGAAGAGTTGGATCTAATAAAATAGAAGGTAGGAGAGGACTTGCAAACCCCCAATTTGACAAAAACAGGTGAGGAAGGTAAGGGAAAATTGCCATGTATATAGAATAATTCTGAAAAATAACATTTTTAGATACGGTTTCTTGTATATTGATAGCTTACTGTTATTTCTATGCAGTGTCTTATTGCATCCTCTTAGTATTTAGGAGATATTTCCATTTTACAGATGAGGAAATTAAACCTACAGAGCTAAGAAAAATGACTCAGATTTTCATAGCTGAATTTGTGACAAAGCTGAGATTAGATTCTAGGTCTTCTGAGTCGCAAGTCGGTATTCTCTCTCACATGTTCCTTGAAAACACAGTCTGAGTTTGAAACATCATAAAGTCTTAGGAAGTTAGTATTGAAAATAGAAGGAATAGAATTATATAGTGAAAGTTCACCTGATGAACAAATATGAATATAGAAATTTTCTTTGACAGAGTAATTAGCTACATGGAAGGGGAGATACACAGCAAGCAAGCTGGGGAGAGCAGAAGCTCTATACTCGTATTTTCGTTATGAGTCAGAGCAAGTTTAACACTCTTGTTACATTAGGAGCTCTGCGTCTTAATGAAAAGCCCAGCCCAGGCACTGATAATCTCATTGTCCACACCTTGCAGACATTCTCATTTTATTCTTTGGCACTTGGGATACTGGCTAGAGTCAAGTGTCCAGAGGGTGGACACGGCCTATCCACCTACTAACATCTGGGAGCTAGAAGAGAGCGAGAGTCTTACTCTAGTGAACTCTCCCAAAGTGTTTGGCTGCCTACTCAGCGGAGCAGGGGGCGGGGGGTGAGGACAGAAATAGCAGAGATACAATCAGGAAACAAAAGATGAACTTCTGTTCAAATCATAACCCCAAGAAAGATGACCTCACAGGGATTGGTTTCAAAGGAAACAGAATTAGTTGGGCTTTCCTTCAGGCCCCCGTCTCGTTTGCTCTCAGCTCTACCTGGGACATGAGACTGTGTGTGTTTCCACTGTTGACTCCTCATGCTCTCCCATGTCACTTCCCATTTTTCTCCTTTTCCATCTTCCACCCCCTGCCAGCCACAGAATGTCTTCCAGGAAATCAGAGCTCTCTGCATAAGAACGTGCACTCTCTCTGGGAAGGATGCTATCAGCTATCATACCACCCAAATGACTCACATCTCCCAGAAAGTGCTCTCTCTCCTGGCTCTTGGACCACTGTGGTAATAGCAGTGTGGGGTTTATTGTTGTTGTTGTTGTTGTTGTTGTTTTGGAAAGAGCAAAAGCAATGTCTTTTACCATGTAGTGCTTTGTGGTTAAAAAAGAAAATACATTCACATATATTCTCAATTGATTTTCACATTAACTGTGTGAGGTAGGGTTAAATATTTTCTGTCAAGGGTCCTGTAGCATACAACCTTGAGACAGTCACTCATCTCTCAGCAGCTTTTATCTCTCTACCTGGAAAATGACATGAACGGCCATAGTCTTTGCCTCCATCTGTGCTGCGCAGACATAACATATGATTTTAAATGTGGAAGGAGGAAAAACTTTGCCCATTGCTCCCATAGGAAAGGTCAGATTCTCCTTACAACTCCTCGGAATTGTCAGATCCTTTTAGCCATCTAAGCTGGGAGGTAATTAGAATGAATGGCCTGAGAACAGGACTGAGCTGGGAATAGCGCCAGGCTAGAAAGTAATGGGCAGTGTTATCACATTTAATAATAATTGTTACGATTTTTGAGTGAATGCGAGGTTGAAAACTGTGCCAGGGATGTGCATACATTATTACATTTAGTCTTTAATGGCAAACAAATTTTTGCAAATAAGGACACTGAGGCTCTGAGAGATTAAACAATACCTGTGAGGCCTCACCGAGCTGGGTAGAGGTGGGCTGGGGTTTGCAGCCAAGTCTGCCTGCGTGGAAGCCCATGTGCCACCGGCCTTTCCCTCCACACCTGCCGTTCAGTTGCCGCACTAATCAAGCGATCACCGCCCCCACTCCTAACAGTGGCTGTCTCCTTGTGCTCCTGCCCCAGGTATCTGGCCATCGTCTACCCGCTGAGGCCCCGGATGAAGTGTCAAACCGCCATCGGCCTGATCGCCTTGGTGTGGGCCGTGTCCATCCTCATCGCCATCCCGTCTGCCTACTTCACGACCGAAACGGTCCTGGTCACCGTCAAGAGCCGGAAGAAGATCTTCTGCGGCCAGATTTGGTCGGTGGACCAGCAGCTCTACTACAAGTCCTACTTCCTCGTTATCCTGGGTGTGGAGTTCGTGGGCCCGGTGGTCACCATGACGCTTTGCTACGCCAGGGTGTCTCGCGAGCTGTGGTTCAAGGCAGTGCCGGGCTTCCAGACCGAGCAGGTGCGCAAGCGGCTGCGCTGCCGCAGGAAGACGGTGCTGGTGCTCATGGGCGTGCTCAGCGCCTACGTGCTGTGCTGGACGCCCTTCTACGGCTTCACTGTGGTGCGCGACTTCTTCCCCGCAGTGTTCGTCAAGGAGAAGCACTACCTCACCGCCTTCTACGTGGTGGAGTGCATCGCCATGAGCAACAGCGTCATCAACACTGTGTGCTTTGTCTCCGTCAAGAACAACTCCATCAACTGCTTCAGGAGGCTCGTGCTGCTCCACTGGAAGGCTTCGTACAACGGGGGCAAGTCCAGCGCAGACCTGGATCTCAAAACTACCACAATGCCGGCCACGGAGGAGGTGGACTGCAACAGACTGAAGTAACCACCCAGGACCTTGCCAGGCTGGACACAAGCCAGCTCTCTGGGACGCTGACCCGTGTGCTTGGATACCCTCCATCAACCAGGAATTCTTGGATTGCTGCAGAGGACGGGGGAAATGGACAGCCCTGTGAACACGGTGTTAAAGGACCTGCACGTGACCAGACACTATCACCAGTGGCCGGCTTTCGCCGAATGTGCACCTCTAGGCACTGGTAAAATCTGTATGTGGTGATGACATTTAGTTAGTAAAATGAAGTAGGGATTAAACCAAAGCAGGTGGCATGGTATAGGTAGTTGTGAATAAGGGGGCTTCAAGCAGGGAACCAGAGTCGGCATGGGACTGCAGAGCTTGTGCGGATGTCTCTGACTGCCTCAGCCCTCATCGGTCACTGATGTAGCCCATCTTCTTGGGACAGAGTTCACGTCTAACGTTTGTAAGACAAGGGCGAGGATACAGAAGAGATTCCCAGCTCTTTCTACAGCCCTCCCCTTCTCGTCCCTGCTCTGGGACTCACTGTGAGGAGCCACGCATGCGCACCAACACCCAGTACCCATGGCCAAGTGCTGGGTGGCTCTTTCCCCCACGCTGCTCTCTGACTACCCCCCAGGCCTGGGCTCGCATGTGGTAAGGCTCATCTTCAGAAGGATGGACTTGGGGAAGCCACACAGAACCTGGATGCCATTTGGACAAGAAATTACAGGGTTCTGAGAACCTGGAGCGAGTTTAGAGAGGGAAGTCTGAGTTCAGGGCGGCCATGTGCCTTCGGCTTCTTGTCCCTGGGGGGAAGGGACGTGCAAGTGGAGGAGGTCAACACTGGATCTCTGGGAGCCACGGGCTGAGGGCCGAGGCTCCGGCTCTCCACTATAAGGATGTTATTCTGACTTGAACCAGTTAGGCTTCCCCTTAAGTCTTTCCTTTCCTTCTCTTGTCTCCATGCTTGTGGTGCATAGAATCTTTCAAAGTAGAGACAAGGCTTCATGGATGTGGCCACCACTGGTCTTATCCATGAAGCCTCATTAACAGCTCTCAAATGTGAGCAAGGAAGGCCATCTCCTAACCAGACAGCCTGATGCTGGTATGATATGAGGGTATCTCATCCTGGTCATTATTCTCTTAGATTGAGGTTCACTTCTTTTTTGAATGGACCCTTGGGAAGAAAAAGCTACCACATTTCTCCTCCTCAGCATGATTGAAACCATGCTATCCAGTGGCAAGGGATGATTATACTAGGGGTGGGAGCGTCCTGGGCACTCAGGAAGGAAGGACACACATGGGTGGCATTGGGCCCAATAGTGACTTCAGGGAGCCCACAGGCTTACTGAAATCTCATCCCACTTTCTAACCTGTCTTTACTTTAGTGTTTTCAATCCTGCCATTTAGTATTTAAAAATGAGAAGTTCTGAGCTCCACTTTTGGCTTTGTCACCCATGTGACCCTAGGCAAAGCCTCTTTGAGAGAACAAAGGCAACACCTGTGATACCTACTGACAGAGTGTGAGGTGCCAACACAATGTGAAGGGAAATGCCTCTAACCACACAAGCATTCGGAAGAATGGACTAGTGACTGCAGAGACTGGATGAGGAGACACCTGTCACTTTGGCTTATGTATCTAGAAACCTCATCGTCTCCCCCTTTTATTGTTATTTGTGTAAATTGCTCCTTTCCCCTTCTTACCACGGCTATATACATTGTGCTCCCAATAACATCTTGGTATAACAAACAAGGCCAGGAGATTTGGTGGCAGAAGCATAAAGGAAATGGTGGGTAGGTCTTCAGTCATAAGATGAGTTCAGGCTTTTGGAAGCTCCAGAATCAGACCACTGTTGTGATCATGAAGTGCTGATCATCCTCCCACGCCTGTTCCCAGCCAGCGTGAGCCTGGGCACTGGGATAGTTGTTTGTCAATTTGTTTTTATTCCCCTGAGTGTGTAGAGCTGCAGAGTGGACTTGTCCTTTTCTTCTTATTTACTTCTGGAGTAGAACACTTTTAAGGCTATGAAAGTGTGACATTTTCCCCTCCAAGTATAATCAACTCTTTCTTTCTGGTGGCAAAGTTTACTTTTTATAGTTACTTGATTTTGGTGGAGCACACATTTCAAAAACCTATTTATTTCTTCCCATTTATTATCTAACAGACTTATCCTACAGTTCGGCCAGAATGCTAATTATGCTAATCTGCTAATTAGAACGAAAATATTAGCCCAAACAAGCATGCACTGGAAGATAATTCTTATTTTTTAATTATAATCAAACATCGCCTTCCATAATCTAGAAAATTAAATTTTAGATTAAAAAATAGTAAAATGACAAAATTTGTCATGATGTTTGCTGTTTCCATTAGGAATGCTAAGCAACAGTTTAACAGGAGCTTGTTGTATGTTGCAAGCAAACCCCTTTCAGCCTGAAATGTATCAATTTTTCATTCAACTCTCTGTAATATTTCTAAGTATTAGTATCTGCTTGTGATTTTATAGTAAATGAAAGTATTATGTTGTTATCAAGTGAAATAAAAAATATATGTGTATATATAAAAATCACTGAGCATGGTGTTCCTGTAGTTTCCCATATTTTTCCTAGTTACAGTGTAATGGTTCTTGGAACACTGAGAAGATTCCATGGTCATATGAATTGTGAGAACAGTGCTAACTCATGCTCTTACTGCCTATAAACTTCTCTTCTCATCCTAACAAAATTTAACTGATTTATATATCCTCTTTCTATAAGCCTCCTCTGGTAAAACCATTAATGCTTTCAAGCATCTGCATGCCAGTACTCGAAATCTGAGGACCTGTTCATTTATGCCTATTACATTAGCTAAGGCTACACCTTTGAATAGGCTTAGTATCCACACATGTGAAGTGAGCAAGAGACAAACCTACAATAGACCACGTCATGTTCAGATTCCTTGAACTGGCTGCCCAGCTGATGGTTTTTCCAAAAACTGGTGGTAAGCCCAAGAAAGTGACACTTGAGTTTGCTTATGTGTCTCTTTTCTGTTCTCTAAATACTTTCAATATGCAAAGAGATGTGCACCTTGATTTATACAGAGGATAAAGACATGATTTGGTAAAGGCAAACTGTTTCTGTAACTGAACGACAAGGGCAGATTTCTAGGAACACTTTTGGAGATGTTGCCCACTGAGTACACATTTTAAAAATAATTTCTTCAATCAAAGTCATTAAAACAAGGCAATGCGGTGATCACCACAGCAAGCCCTGAAGCATGAAACAACTTACATGCTTGTTAAGGAAAGGAATGCCAAAGAATTTGTGAGATGACCAGAAAACCCATTTCTTAAAAAATATGATAAATTTTGCAATGTATCCACAAAAACTGAGTCCAGTTCTTGCTCATAGGGTGTAAGTGAGAATATCAAATTCAAGCCAGTGATTTCACAGTTGATGAAAGTGAAGTCCAGAATGAGGAAGAGATAAGTTCAAGGTCACACAGCTGGTCACTCGGTAAGCCAGAGTTAAACCCATCAAGGGCTCTTCTGCCACAGCATTCCTGGGTGCAGGGAGCATCAAAATCTTGGAAAGGGGAGGATCCTTTCCAAGAATCCTTGAGGTGACTGACTGTTCAACCTCAGTCTGGCCTTCCCTGGAGACTTTAATAAGTTTAGCAGAGACATTCCTGGTTCCTTTTCAAGCCAAGTTTAGCTCATTCTACCCCTGGAAACTCACAGAACAGACATGAAGGCCAGGAGGTTTTAGGGGGGAACTGCTAAAAGATGTTTACAGATCCTCTTTCTTTACCTTACCTAAAAGGAAAGACACTAGGCCCTATCTATGAGAACAGCTGCCCTGCCCTAGGAAAGCAGAGGAGAAAGAGAAAGAAGATGTACTTTCCCAAATGTTCAGACTGGTGGGCCAGGCCTGTGTGCTCAGAGCTCAGTGGTATGAGAGGGCCACCTCTCACCTGTCAGAGAGGATGAGCAAGGTGGGGGCGGCTTTCTGGATGAGGTGGAACTTAAACTGGCCGAGTGGGGCATACAGAAGCAAAAAGACAAGCAGTCCACCTAGGAAGAGAAACATTTATCTGCTCCTGGAGACTGAAATTGCTTTTTAATTCTTACATAGTGATGGGATTGTCATCCCTGAGAAAGAAAGCCAAAAACTGGAAAACTTACAGAGACACAACTAAGGAATGTCAGAGCCTTATTGAGAGTGAGTTTTGATGGGCAAGTGGGGGCAAGGAAAGAAAGAAATAGTCCTACTAAAGCAGGTCTGTGTATGGAGTGAGGGAGCATCTCATAATTAGAGAAAAAAATGAAAGAAAGGATGCAAAAGGGGAGGTTGTCTTTTTTTTTTAGAGACAGAGTCTCACTTTATCGCCCTCTGTAGAGTGCCATGGCAGTATCACACAGCTCATAGCAAACTCCAACTCCTGGGCTTAGGTGATTCTCTTGCCTCAGCCTCCCAAGTAGCTGGGACTACAGGTGCCACAATGCCAGGCTATTTTTTTGTTTATTGTCATTTCTATTTAATTGGCCCAGGCCGGGATTGAATCCTCTAGCCTTGGTGTATGTGGCTGGCACT